GTACATGTTTGGAGAAGTTGATCATTACAAGTCTTTCCTCCTCGAAATTGTGTGGCCCGAGAATTATCCAGAAACGTTGCCAGTTATAAATTTGGATTTATTTTACAACAGCAGTCTTTTTAATGAGGTACGAACACTTTAATTGCCCATTTAATGTACAGTGATGTTAGCTTTCCGTAAAAGCAAAGTTATTTTTTAATCTTATTCGGAATTTACTAGAATTTTTAAGTGAATAAGGTATTCACAACTAACTCTTTTGTTAAGGTTAAAAGTCATATCAGCGAGCAGCTGACTAACGAGGCAAAGAAGTCTTTAGGCATGGCTGTTACTTATACTTTAATTGAATATGTAAAAGAAAATTTGGACGACCTTTTGAAAGACCAAGTTTATGTTTGACATGTTTTTAACTTTATATAATTTTTTTTTCTTAGATTGAGTTAGTAACGTGTTTATTCCACTATCTCTTTGTTACCAGACCCGACTGTTTCATTGCTGACTTTTTAGAACTAGCATCGGAAAGGCTTTATCTATTATTTAGACTGAAGTGGCTGTGTTAGACGAGAAAATGCCTTCTTACGTGATGGAAGATCCAGAAAAAACTACGAAGAACCCAAAAGAAGTCCCTAAAAAGGTGCAAATGTCAAAGGCACAAAAGAAGCGGATGTGGGACAGAACGACTGCGGCCAATCTTGGAGAACAGGTATTTTCTTTCATTTTGTTCGGTTCAAGTTAATCGCCCATGTTAATTTTCTTCTATTTTTTATTTTTTTTAAAGTGGGAATTTATGTGTTATTACGTCTCATCTCACTTTTTTAAATTAGGAACGAGGTTGGAACTGGGTAGATGTAATCCATCACCTTTCGAGGACTCGCGATGATTAAACGTTGTGATTGTAGACTTTACAGTTCAATTGCCAATTGTTACTATTCCTGAATAAATCCTACTAGTTATGCTTTATAACCATATATTTTTGAAGGTTACAGCCAAATTTCGTCTTATTTATTTCCATATCCTCTCTAAAGAAGTTGCGAATGGAAGGTCGAATGAGATTTTACTAGAACAGTTGATATTTTTTTGTTAATTTTTTCCTTTTTCTGCTTTTAATGTAATGGTGCTAATGCGAAGCATTTGAGTAATTTTGAGACGTTTTGCTCATCTGGAAGTGTTATTTACATTCTTTGCGGTCATAATCATGTTGAATGCTCGTGATAAATGTTGTGTGGAAAATGACGTCGTTTGCGCTATTAGTGTTGTCACTTTGTCAAATCTTATACTGAGGGGAAAGGTTTCAGGTGCACCACTGGTTGCCCTTGTTGTTCCTTCCAACTTGCTGCATGTCGTTGTTTCTTCGTGTCATAACGCTCAATTGTTGGTATGCTTTTCTCCATCATTTCAAGTTAGGGAGTTTCTTAAACTGCTGTTTTGCTTTTTAAGGGCTCTACCGCAACCATGGCCTATTGGAAGTAAGGATCGACATTACAGAATAAAAAAATTGATCGAGGCGTTACTGAAAGATAATTACGATATTGTCGCTTTACAAGAGGTTAGATTTCTCATTGATGTATTTAAGTGTTCAGAATTTGCATTGACCAATAAACTTTTAATTTTTCTTCATAAATTTATATTTTCAACAATATTTTATTTAATGGCATATCCAGAGCTCTATTTTACCGTGAATAGTTGCTTTTGGCAAAAGCCTTTAATTGCTCAGCAAAGGCTATTTCTTGGTAAGGTTTTAGATATGGGGAGAAAAAGATTATTGCCAGATCAGTACTGCTGTCAAAGGCTCCTATCCGTATTCGTTCTATTTTCATAGGTGAACGACAGTTGTTTAATTTCTTCTTTTTGAGATTATTCCTTCTCTTAGCTTTTAGTAAGTCGAGCTAATTTCTGTTTGTTGGGGGTGAAAGCATGTACTATTGTAATTTACTAGTGCGAGTTTTAGTGGTTTTACTGGAAGCGGTGTATGCGTTTTTACGCGATTTCGAATAGTCTCTACGATTATGCATCGTTACTCTCTAAATGGCTTCGCCCACCATATTCATAGGTGGTTTATTCTCATCATTGCGGTCTGTTGTATGTAGATTAAAAAGTATTTTTAAACATTTTTAGGGGTGACTGGTTTGGGGGAAAAGTGGTTGGGATGGTTGAGCTAGAGGCAGAGAAGTACCGCATAAACTTCTACACAACTCATGTAAGTTTATGGAGTTCTTTCAGTTATAAATCTAAGTTGCTTCCTAAAAACATTGTTATCTCGTTTGAAAAGCGTTTCTGACTTCTGTTGAGGTCGACTGCTTTTTCTTAGTAAAGATAGCTGCTTTAAATTCCGCTAGCTTTCAGTTACACGCAGAGTACAATCGTGAAAATGATCTTTATTTACCTCATCGGCTTTCTCAGGCGTTTGAGTTGTCACAGTTCGTAAAACACACAAGTTGTGGGGCAGATGTTGTGATACTAACAGGTCCTGATTTGGTTTCGTCGCTTTATTTTAAACGATGGAGATTCAGATGTTGGAAGTTTTTTTATTTTGAATGCTTAATTGAATTACACTTGAAATTGAGCTCTCTTTATTTGTACAACTTCGCTTGTTATAATATTGAGCCGAAATATTTCTAATTTGTAACCTTTGTTTTGTAGAAGTTCTTTTTTTGATACTTGATGGAGCAGTGACATTTTTTTCAGGTGATTTTAATTTGGAACCTGAAGATCTTGGTTACCGTGTTATTGTGAATAATGCGCAATTAAAAGATGCATGGTTGTATAGGCCAGTAAGCGCTTAGTGCAGTTCTCTAAAAAGCGTTAATTTTCGATTGATCATGACAAATATTTGTAGGACAAAGATGACAGAGATTGGGGCACTACTTGCGACCGTCCAGATAACTGTTATACACCCAACATCAAAGAATTGTTGAAAAGCAAAGGGAAACGTTTAGATTATATCATGTATAAAGGCGTAAATGGTAAATTTACAGTCTCATTCATTTTTAAAGATTATTGTATACCAACTTCACCTTTAAGCTGCAAAAAATTGTTTTTAATTCTTTGGCGAGGTCTGCATTATTTAGCTTCACTGACTCTCACAACTTGTGAAAACCGTCTTAATAAAGTACCTGGAGAAGAAGGATTGAATTACAGTGATCACCTGGGTGTTTATGCCGAATTTACTATAACTGACGAGAAAAAGAAAGTAAGCTTATTGTTATCCCCCTGTTTCGTTTTTTACCAGGTACCTCTGTACATTGCTCTTAGATCTGTAAAAGACGGTGTTAATCAGTTTTACAACATTTCAGGAGGGTCATGATAATTATTTGACATCAGCAGTATTGAAGGAAGCAATACCTATATTACGTAAAGGCGAAAACCGTGCTCTATTTGACCGCCAACTGTTTCTGGGATTATGTGTCGTTCTGGTCGCTCTTTTTTTCTGTACCCTTAACATTGAAATTTATTATCCATCCTGGAGTATTGTGGTAAGCAGATTAGTACATTTTATACTTTGTTGCGTAGTGTTTGAAGCTTTATTTTCTTTCAAACGTTCTTTTATTACCCAGAATTTATAGCAATTTTATGTTACTTTTTTTTAAGACTACCGGTTTTCGATTTTTAATCACGCTCTTGATCGGTTTTTGCACCTGGTATGGACTAATCGGCTTAACGATGGAACTAAAAGCTCTGAAAGCAGCGAAATTTTCAATGACGATGCTCCTGAGTGATTGATGGAAGTGGACTGATTTTTACTCGTTACTATTAGTATTCTTTGCTAGGAATTGTTTATTTTTGTTAAACTACGTTGAAGCTTTTCCAGCCATCATTTTTCATGCTCAGTGTGAACTTCTTACCCTTCTTTTAATCGTTCTGAGGGACAAACGTTTGATGCTGGATACTGTTATGAATTGGTGTTTGTAACTAGTCATTCCGATATTTGGTTTTCCAAGGTTGTGGTAGCTCTATACTACGAAAGATCTAGTCATTTTTTTCTCATTTTTCGGTTATAAATTGAGAAGTGCAGTCATTTTCGATCATCAATATTTTTATCAATGGCTGATAACTGTTTAGCTCTCTTTTTGAAAATTAGCCTGCCGCGACAATTTTATTAAGTATGCATGGGCTGAAATTTACGCATATACCGTTGCGATTGGAATTGTATGTGTTGTTTACATTGTTCTCGTAATTCTAAACGATGTGATCTGGTTTAATGTCAGTCTTGTTATATTGTAAAATACTTCTACAGTTTTTAAAACCATTTTGAACCCTTTATTAACATACATTTTCAAAACTAATTCTCTAACTGTATCTGCGGAGGTACGGGTAAAAGAAATTAAGTGCACCCTCAACAAAAACCAAGATTTTATTGAAATTGACACCTGGAGTTTATACAGGGATGTTGCAGTCAGTAATAGAACCAGGAAATAAATAGTCACAATGTCTGGCTATCCTGAGTTCTCGAAAGATAGTGGGTTACATTTACTACATTTCAGTGTCGTTTTTAAATGTTTTAAAAGTTATATGAGGCGTCAGACCGGTCACAGGTGTTCTGTTCAACACTAACTTGTTTTGAACCTTTGGAGTTACCTGTACAAAACACTGCTCAGTTTTTTCATAGTATTATGAAGAGTTACTTGCACATGTAGCAAATTATTTTCGAAAATTTTGCAACCTTAATTGAGCGGATTTTTTTTTGCACTTTAGGTTCCCAGCCAGAATTTTAGGAAGCAAGAAATTAGCAATGGGTGTAAATGACTGCAAAGTAAATTGGTGTTTTTAAGCATTATGTAACAATTTAAGGTATCATGTAGTCAGAAATGGGTGACCAACATCATAAATACTAAATTTCTTGTAACGTGACAGCCTCTGTTTTATAGTCAATAGACATTTCCTGAGTCAGAATTTAGGCATTTGCACAAGCCTTCTGGCAGATATTTTGATCGCAGCGTTGCTGGTACTTTTAAGTCCTTGTTACCAACTGATCGACCCAATTACATTTTCACAGTCTCATTTACTCTTAGACGCACGCTGTCCTCATAAGTGTCAAAATTACTACTGGTTAAGCTTCACGAGTAAATTTTTTTAACGTTGTTAAATAAACTGACTGTCGTGACCATCTACAATATCCTTAATTGAGAAACTTTGTCACTTTACAGTGTCCGCTTGTGGGAACTCATTCCTATTTGTGTTATATTTACTCACAGCAAACGATTGTGGTTGGCAACGTATGCAGTACGTTATGAGGACTGTCTAACTTCTTTCTTAAACCGTGAACTATCTTTGTAGATCTTAATGGATTGATACCTTATCACGCACAACAGTAGTTTAATTAGTATGGTCTACCAATATATAGTAATATATGAAAAGAAATAACAGTAAGAAAAGAATCACAAAGGACAGGCTTGTCCCCTTTACAGTATTCAAATATCATGAATAAACACTATCAAATAAACCACTGAAGCAATAATACAACAAATTGCCGAATGGGTACTATAAATGAATTCTGATGGTCGACTGGTTACGTTTGATTCTTTTCCTCTTCTTGATGTTTAGAATCTGTTGCTGCCATGCGGGTTTTGGGGTTTTAATAGTTTTATTTAACGAATACGGATAAGATAGTACAATACGAACTTCAAACCTCAAACCTGGGTAATTAAATCGTGTTATAAAGGCATTTAAAACGGGTTACAACGAATAAGGCACTAAAACATTCAAGCAAAAAATCATAGGTTAGAAAAAGAACAACTGGAATATAGCAACTCCGTTAGTAAGGATCACTTTCGACTCTTTCCCTCGTCCTGCGGCCTGGGTTTATATCCGCGACTCTTGGTTTAGGCGGGGTTGAGATCCCTCAGATCTCACCCCGCTAATCTACTCCTCGTCCCCCAGGCCGTCCTTGAACCATTGAGTTAATCTTCTGGCTCCCAGGCTTTGGGAACCTTTGCTAGGAATACTTTATCGCTTTTCTTGGGCTTGGGAGTGTTCGCTGACGGCGACAGGTACGTTATAAACCTGGAGTACAGTCAAAGACCAATAATCCGGCACGAACCAGAATAATTTTGAATGATTAGTCCGACTGAGACTAAGCAAGAAGCTGATCAATTGACCGGTCGAAAAACTACTTGAAGCTGAGCAAAAACCGATTTAATGCTGACCCCGGTGGCTCATAACTACGCCCTATATAGCATTCTCTGAGCAGACTGACCAACTAATTACCCTCCAGAAGCGGCCGCCGGAGATAAATAGTGGCTTTCTACTGTAGTCTGGAATTACCTTTTGCGTACTGTCGCTACACTAACACTTTTTAGAAATCCGCAGTCTGCAAGTCTAGCACACTTCTATTTCGCTCTTATACGTAAAACGCTCTCCAGCAATTTTTCATCCTGCAATCACATTTTTACTACTTTATTTTTCGCTTCAATTTTATTCTGTTCTCACATTACTTTTATTTTGTATTAAGTTTAGGCCATCTCTGATTTATGTTTTGGGCTGGATGTCCATTGTTAACTTTATGTTTTTACCGTTTAGGCGTACCTTGTTCTTTTTAAGTTTTACTCCGTATGGTGGAACTCATATCTCCTTGTAAAGTACCTTATTTAAGAGTAGTTTCTAGTAAACGGGTACTACCAGACCACAATTATTCAAATTACTGTAACCTTCTTGTAACCAGTTCACAGTAATCATTCTTGAACTCTTATCTATCAATCTAACGTTCACTGATTGTTAGATTATATCTCCTTATTTTAATTTTAAGTTTTCTTGAATGTTATTTCTCAATGACAAGGAAATAGTTTGTTTATATTTAGGGGAAAAAATAAGACACCAGGGACGAAATATCACAAACATTCAATAAGGATAAACGCCACTTTTAAAAGTCGTAGCTTGTAAATTTTGTAAAATCTCGTTAGACTGATAATCGTAGAAGAAGGATCATAAAAAATGGTAACGAACGCAATAATAAAAGTAGTCGCCTTCCTGAGGTTTTTACACCTTTAAGTTTGGCAGGAATGATGAGTTGAAAATTATTTTTGCCACAGGGGTTGGGCGGTCAAATAATTATAAATATCTTTTAACCTTGGATGTACAGTTGCTGTTTCACCCAATTACCGCAAGTCTTAATGAAGTGTTGAAAAGGTGAATTCAATTTACCACATTATTGTAGTACTAACCACAACACTCTGTGCCTGTTTTTTTTTATTTGAGCAAGTTTGCTCTTTACCTATTTCTCCTCTTACGTCGAAATATGAGGAACTTGCGGACCCTGTTTAATATATGATAATGTCTTTAGGAAAGCTTGTTTGATATACAGGCGCCTATTAGCTTATCTAGAGTTTTAGAGTTCAATTTCACCACTGGTTGGTGTTTTTTTCTTCTTTTTAATAGTTTTTTTTCTTATATTTCTTGACCCTGCTTTCCTCGTCCCGGTTCTTCATTAATTTGCCATTAGATCATAGTTTTTAAACTAAAAACTTCTGCAAATTTACAGGTAGATGATGGACAGAGTGGTGAAAGTGAGGCTCCAAGCACTGCTACATGGTGGGCAGGTGCCGTTGCTGATATTTCGTTTACTGTTTACTGTTTTGCTTGAATATCAATATTGGGTCTTCCTTTCAGTACTGGCATTTGTCTTGGTTATTAAGTGAGGCATTTTAAGTGTATATTTACTTGAAACTTTGCGGTTGTTTGTCTTTTGCGCAGTCTTGAGACTATCAACCGTGTTTTTTTTAGGTAAAGATGTTTATTCATTTTTTTGTTACTATAAGTTACTGCTGCTGTTATTTAAGGAACATCCTGCTAATTTGGCTTGTTTTTATCCGTTTTCGTCTGTGAGGTTCTAGTCATAGTTTCATAGTCTTAGCCGTATTCTTTAGGCCGTAAAGTACTTTTCGGTTGCCCCAGGTAATATTTTACTTGATTCATTTTGGACAATTGGATGAGATGGTAATAATGACCTTTTTTAGCTAAGGTCCCATAAATAGGCCTTTACTGTTGTCTGTTTAATACAATCTTAGCGGTGTTATTAAGGCCAAAAAGCATTCCCAAAGAGCCTGAAGATCGGTAGAATTGTTCGTTACTTTATTGTTTGTTCCCAGGTACTCTGCTATTCTTAATATATTGCTTGATTCTGAATTACGGCTGCGAAAGTGATTAATGGATGTTAACCGGAAGGTGTACTGTGGCCAAACGGTTGATTAGGTTGTACTGCGATATTATTAAATTGATTGAGCTACTCTTTAAGCTGATGCAGCTATTCAAACAATTTCCTCTTTTCGGAGCTTTTTCAAAACCATTTTGGGAAGTAATTTTTGTTCAAAACGCTGTTTCTAAACAGCTCCTTACTAAGAGAGCAGCAGAAGAACTTCAAATGCTGTAGATCAAGAAAACGGGGAGTAGCAGATGAAATAACAAATTGTTTTGACGCATTTGACTATTTGCTTTTCACGCAGCTTATTTCTTTTTTAAAAGTGATGTGACATAATAACAGTTCAACCTTGTCAATAAAGGTTTAATTGTCCAAGATTGAGGCCCAATGTGCAGACTTGGGACGTGGTCGGTGTAGTACAACAGAAAAGAGAAGAGCTAGGCCGCCGATAACGAAACTGTTCGTTTCTTTGTTTGCGAGCGTAAACTACTCAGGTCATTGGAATTCTCTGAGGATATGTCTCCTGTTCCTAATGTAACTTGCAGACTCCTGCAACTCAAGCCTCCGTCATTTTGTAAAGATTTTTATGGTTGAATTTTTCAGCTTGCTTCGAGGCAGTGATAAACTCTTGAAAATAACGCCAACTGAGAAGAGTTCGTATTAAAGAGTCAAGCTAGTATAGTCGTAAAGCGTTTCTAATAAGATTAGGGTTACGAGCTGTTGGTGAACGCAGTAAAAGTTAACTATGGAAAAGCAGGGCGTTTGAGGTTACCCTAGCGTTGCAATTTTTTATGCCCATTGGCAGTTAACAGCATCACAGAAATCAGTGAACTTGCAGATCGGACGGAAGAAATTTTAAACTAGTTGGAAGTCTTGAATGAAGATGTGTAGCGCTCAAAGACTGCGTTGATGACTGAAGGGGAATCACCAGGTTGGATCTATGAAAACTTTTTTGAAGATGAAGAAAGGGCCGGGTACTGGTCGGTAAAAAAGTTTAAGAAGTGGCTTATTGCCAGGACTAGGATGTAGGTATTATAACAGGAGTGGTTTGCAAAAGATCAGCATATTAAATGTCGTAGTGGCGAGCTAGGATAATCAGTGGTTGATACTGAGAATGGTGGCGGCTCAAAACGCCTGATTTTGGAGTTCGTGTGGCTTTTTTTGAGAGAACCGTATGGCTAAAGAGTCTTCCACGTATGTGAGTGCTGGAGGAAAACGTCAAGAGACAGAAAACCTTATGCTTCAAAAAAAAAAACAAGCTCAAGTTTCACAAGTCAAAGTCACTAAGAGTTACATGCAGAATGTTTATGTTGAAAATTTTGTTTCTATCCCGACAGTTGTGAAGCGAGTTTTCAGGTCCACGCTTCAGTGAAGAATATCTTGAGTGAGCTTGTATGAATTTAAGGGAATGGCATTCAAACAGCAAAGAATTTGAGAATTCCTCAGACTTAGAGGATAGTCCTGAGGGACAGCTAGTAAAAGTGCTAGGTATTCCTCAAGCCAAAAGCAAAGGCGGTTTTTAGATTGTTGTCAAAGGCCAGTCAGCTATACCAAACAGATTGTAAATAAAAGGCAATTTTACAAGGACTAGCAAAAAATTAGAACTCTTTAGGTCTTCTCTCGTCAGCTATTCTTTGAAGCAAACTAGTGGTTCAAAGTTTATGGTAAACAAAGTATAGTTGGGATCAATAGGGACCAACGGAAATCAATAAACTTTGGAGTGAACTGTAGAAGACTGGAATCGAACAGAAGTAATTGAAATTTTGGAGCTTATTTAGACTGGTGGCCTCATTTTTCTTCTCCGCCCCGGTGGGCAGAGTTC